CCTGCCATACACACATCATATCACTGCGCAGACGAGATGAGCAGGAGCTGCGCGGCGAAGTCCTCTGCACACTCACCCGGATGATTCTCTCCCTGCTGTGCAGTGCGTCACCCAGGGTCCGGAGCAGCACACCCTCAGCGCCCTCCTGAGGCACCTGAGCCTGTCCAGGAAGCACCAGTTTATGGTCAAGACTACAAGTGTGCCACAGACCTACCATCAATTCCAGCCCCACACACCTTAAAGATAATGGTTTTGGACAGTTTTGATAGCATCACATATCAGTTCATCAGCCAGCAGGTACTTCCTTTGCTTATGCTTTACATGTAAAATAAACCAAGATAAATGTATAAACAGCTTTTAACAGATTCAAATATTAAACCTGCTATTAGCACTGGTAAGACAATAGTCGCCTTTCTGCAGTGTGATATGTTTCCTTAATAAAATAGACTTTTCTGATACACAAGTCAAGGGAACAAGTGAAGACAAAAGTCTGACGCTGGTGTATAAATAACCAAACGTGTTGAAATTTTAAATGCAGGACAGGATAAGGTAAACAGAGGGGAGAAATATTTATATTATAGAGATAAGGAAGTAGAAATGTCGAGTGTGATACAGGCAGACACAGAGATTATCACAGTGTAGTCAGAGCATACCTTTAAAAATCTCATACATATTAAAACACCCTCATAAATGCAGATAATTACCTCAGAAACTTGATAATTGCGATGTAAACAACATTGGGGCAAATATTTTTCTTTAAAAATTTCTTAACTGATTCAAGATATATGCCTATGCATGTTTAATTATCAAGCACCGGAATGACACTAGACTGCATCTCATTTACACCATCTGCAAGGTTCACCGCAGAGATGCCTCACTCAGCAACAGAGCAGCTGTAAATCGTCTTAGTCTACAGGACAACGCGGCCATAACGCAGCTCTGTGCACACTACACCTGGAGAGCAGAATTCCAGGGGAAGGCGTGTTCAGAGAATGCTTCCTTGTGTGCAGACTGTACACACCCACTTAAAGGCGGAAAATGACATTCCTTTTTATCACTGTGTGCCTGATGCGGCAGCTGCTTTGTAAATATGACACTCAGAAAACTGAAATCTAGAATTTCTGCAGGTTGGGCACCAGTTTGTTGTGGAAAAAAATATGGTGTGAAAGTGACGTAGTCGCTTCAAATAGCCAGTATACAAAAACGTATTTTTATGATTAATAATTAATTACATAATATAGAATTATTATTTTTAACTCTTTTGTTCTTATGTTTGCACTGGACAGTTGTCCCTCATTCCTATTTGTACTGTGTCCTGTTAATCGTAGCTGTCTCTGTGGTTACTGTTTGCACTGAACCACAACCAGTTCCAGTATGTTTGTATACTGCCAGTTACGTGTTCTGAGTTCTGGCTGTCGTGTAGCTGCTTCTTACATCAAAATGGAATCCAAATTGGCAAAAAAACACAGGGAGACACACAGGCAATATCCCTCCACAGCAAAATCAAAAAGAACAGAACAAGGCTCTTCTCTCGTCTTTACCGTATCGGGTGCCTCCGGCTGACTGGCACCATGCCCTCTGCGCCCGGCGTTGGCCTTCAGTTCTGCCTCCAGGCTTCGTATACGTCCAAAAGCTTGATCTAGCTGTCCCCGCAAGTGCCTGACTACATTGTGCATTTGGCCTTTATGTTTCTGGAAAAAAAGGAAATGGAATATTTGGTAAAAAAATAAATAAATAAATAATCAACATTCTCCTAAACACAATGTATAAATGATTTTTTTTACATTTTCTGTCAGATCCACCAGGTGATGTGACAATTAAATAGTCTATAATATATAGTGTAAAATGCGTGCATGGCCTTCATCAGCACCTAAACACTGCGGCGTTTTATAAATTAAAATTCAACTTTACCAGGGTTGAAAAACTTATCTTCTCACCTCTTTGTGTAGAGGAAGAAATTCATCAGTCAATTCAGTCAGGACATCCTTGGCTTCTCCATCAGCAACATCTTCATCATGTCCTCCATCTCCAAAACTCAGAGCCCTAATGACATCAGAGCCTGACCTTTCCCTCGCCGATTCCCACGACCCACCCCTGCTCCTGTCCCATACTGGAATCCGGCTGCCTGACGGGCACTTAACTGGTCTCGTCTCTATGGCCTTTAACTCCTTCAGGATGTTCCCTAACATGACGTGCTCCTCCTCTGGCCAATCGAAAGCTTCGGGGCCATCCATGGAAATCAAGGAGGGAACAGAGCCCGAATAAAAGGGCTCCTGGAAAGAGTGGCAGGAGCCCACCGACGACGCAGAATCCGAGCTGACTGACGACATCCTTGACCAATGCAGAGGCATACTGCGCGACTTGTCCCGAGAGAGGGCCAATGGGGAGAAGGCCTGAAAGGGGAGGGACCGAGGGACACCGCACACAGACTCATAGTCCGAGTCCGACACCCGCAGCGAATCGCATCCCTGGCAGCTTTTCCCCTTCCTGCATCTTTTCCCTGTTCTCTGAAAATAAGGACAGGATCCCCATTTCTCTGACCAACACTCGAATGCGGACAGAGACATGTTGTCTCTTAGCATGTCCCTGTATCCGTCCGTCACCTTCTCCTCCCTGCCACCCCCCTCCCCATTCTCCTCCTGGCTCGGCCCCCCCCTCGTCTCCCATTCCCGCGCGTTATGGTTCCTGTAAGCGTTGTACACCCACTGCCTCAGCTTATCCCGCTCCTGAACGAGCTTCTGCAGCCTCTCGGAGGATAAGACCCTGACCCGAGCGATGACGGTGTCGAACTTAAATACCCGCTCCAACATCGACACGCACTTCCCACACAAGAACTCCCCGCGTCTGGAGCCTCGCGGCACAGACTTATTCAGCGCGTGTGTCAAGACGGAGAGCAAGTCTACTCCTCGTGAGGAGGAGGGGAGCTGAGACTTTGAGAGTGAATGAGAAGAGCCCAGAGACAGACTGCTACCTGAGAAAATAGGGAAGAAAAACAGACAAACGAAAATTAAATAAACCTTTAACCTTAAGACGTCTGGCCATTTTATCAGCATATATTTATTTACTCTTGAAATGGAATTTATGGGTTATGGAGTGACTTCATCATATTCCTCAAGAACTGTACTAACAAGCTAACAGAATTTTACATATTAGTGATCAAATAACAACCCAACAGAAAATAGTTTGTATTTTTAAATTTATAATCATATACAATTCAAAATGTTACTCAAACTCAATTTCCCGTTTTAAAAATGACACTGTATACTGCATTTGTCATTGGCTTGGACCAACAATTTGTGTGCTTTTTTCCTAAGATTCACTACTTACTGCTGGCCTGTTATTGATTGTCCATAATGTAAACATTTTACCAATGATTCAGACAGTCAGAAAACACTCTTTTTCCAAAGCAAATACTGCACCAATTTAAGCCAATCATCGCTGGGTGTACACAACCTTGTCAGAAGGCATGATGACCCTGGTTTTATTTACATGCTGTATTAATGGCTGCCTTCCCTCACCCCACGGGCTGCTTTGGGAGGACCCGGGCTGGCTGCTTTTGCTGAAGTAGTCGGGTGGGGTCAGGGACTCTCTCTTGTGTTGGCCCCCAAAGAGCCACCGCCGCTGGTTACCCTGGAGGGCCCCCCCACACACGCGGCACCCCCTCTCCTTGTCCTTTGTGGTCATTGTGGTTGCAGTGCAAAACAACTCTGAAGAAGAACCATTGAAACAATTTCAAAGAGATGTTTTATTAAACCAAAAAAAGGGAACCATACATTGACATAAGTTTGGTCAATATGCCTAGCAGGGTCCTTGTAGGATGAAACAGGTAATACAACAGAATAAAACTGACACAAATCTTACGTACAAAATAGACAAACCAGCACGGCCAATCTAACAGCAGCATAGTAGTACTTAGGCAACATAAGAGGGTTAAACGAGTAGAAAACTTTTTATATTCTACAAAACCGAAAGTACTATGTAGGTCGCTGGTATATGTATTAGCTGTTGGGTTGTAAGATGCATATTCCGCGATTTATACGTGGCAGGTCACATCCCCCGTGCTCGTCCCAGCAGCAAACGGAGTGCTTTACAGACAGAGACCAGCGCTGTTCGCTCAGGGCCGCCGCGTCTGTTTACAGCGGAAAGCCGCCGGCTGACAGCGCGACCTTGACACAACCACAGAAATAAAAAAAAAAAAGTAGCTCTCGAATCAATGCATCTCTGTAATCCAAATGTCAGTTTTATTTTATACTTTTTGGTCCTTTCATGTAAGACTTGAGTTAAACTCTCCAGATCACCAGCTACTTTCTTTTTTCATTTTTTTCAAAGTCGATCTCGAATAAGCCGACAAAATACAAAAGATAGTTGAAGTGAAACACGTCACTCGAAAACAGTCCTGAGTACACCTCAGTCCGACTCACTGCAAAGTGCCTGCACAAAAAAGCAGATTTGCACGAAGTTGCAGCAATCCGAACTCTGCATGCACTGCCGCTTGTTAAGACTTATTCTCTAACAGAAATCACCGCTTCGCCTCTACAGAGACGTGAACCGTGGGAATCATTTTTCACGAAAGGCGATACATAAGATCCTAATAACGCGTTGCATTTGACACGATCTAAAATTAGAGTCACCGAATGTCGCTCCACGCTTTTCACTCGTCTAAACGCGGAAATGTGACCTTTCAAATACAACTCCATTCTACAGAACATCAAGTCCAGTTATTTCTGAAACAAGCAACGTTACCCAAACTTCATTCTTAAAGATCAAGGGAAAAGCCACGCAGCGATAAGATAAATCAAAAGTTTCTTACAGGCTGGAGCCGGAACCGAGGACATGTGGCAAACGCCACCAGCACGGCACTCTACCTTGCTGACGTCACCAGCGCTACCTGTTTGGCGGACCACGCCGGTGCGGAGTTTTTACATAGTTATTCGCTCTAATGTTGCCTCCTGAATAGCTGGCTTTGTGCTGAATCATGGAGAAACGCCACGGCGTCAGCACAAACACGTAAAGCGACGTATAAAGTGCAATATCCAAATGGAATGGCATGAACTCCTAACCCAAACAGGTTTTTTCTCTTTTCTAGAGAAAGCATCAATCACTCATCGTTTCCTTGGTTTCTTATTCTTTATTAATTGATAAACAGAACGAAAAACGTTTCATTCTGCTAGGATTTTCCTTTGGTCGGTAATCAACACTGAAGTTTTTCCTGTCTCTTCATGGCAAAAACACATCAGCGATTGTTTTTCATCATTTTTTTTCGTGGCACCTTTGCCACACATTGGTAGACTCACGCTTTTGGAGCTGAGGAGAGCTTTGTTGGCAGCAATTCCAGGTTAAACTACACTTAATCTCCCTTGAGGGCAGCGGTGCCCAGATATGGTCGACCTATGACCTTGGCACATGGTCAGCTGTCCATGTAAACTCCCATTCTGGCAAGATGAAAAACATGTATATAACAAATGACAGGCATAATATCCTCATTAAATAGTGAGAAAGTGTTTATTCCAACTGTGCATTTATCAAATGCTGATTTTATGTTGTCATTTAAGTATCCTGTAAGGAAGTGCCAAATGATTAGAAGATAAGCAAAGCTTAATATGATCCAGCATGACATTCAGATGGAAAAATCTTAGAGGAATAATCTCTGTCCCCAATTTTCAAAAGTAAATCATAACACAGTTTTGTATAATCTAATCAGATCATTAATTCTGTTAATCCACTGGAAGAAATACTGAGACATTGAAATAAGAAAAAAAAAAACATTGCGTCATGCATTACTGATGAATAAATTCGACATAAGAGTTAGATTTTATCTGATGTGAGAACAGTACAGTCTAACTATAACCTCAGCAAGTCTCAAAAAAGCAAGCAAACAGTGTCATCTGGACTTGGATTGAAATAGATTCTGTGTCTGGCAATATGCAAATATAATGCAAAGGTGACATATTGAGACACTAGAGTATCCACTGTTCGATGCAGTCCTGGTACACGCTCTCGTTCGAGTGCCACACAGTGTGATGCACCCCCGGGAAGGTGCACACCGCCAAATCTTCACGACTGACCAACGTCTTCAGGCCAAACGTATCTTTCACAAACACCTGTGCGTGTGATGAGAAGACAGAGGGAGGACAGTTAGTGCGATATATTAAAAAAGACCAATGATATCAAGATCAACAAAACATATTTAACGACTCACTTCCTGTTCCTTCATTTCGACAATGGCCTCGTTCTCGTCATAAAACCCAAAGTGACTGTTGAAAGAATGTCAAGAAGTTGATCTATTCAAGTTTATTTGATGGTGTATTTATAAAGATGAATGAACAGGACAACACGAAATGAGCAAAAAAAAGCTTTTAAAAAGAGCGACAAGTAGCCCCCTGACCTAGACTGCCACGGTGTGATCACTCCATCGTCAGGGCCACCAATCAACACCAGTTTCTTAATGCGCAGGAAGTTGGTTTTCCAATCTAAGAATGTTTGAGACACCGCATATGCTGATTAATTACAAAAGTGTGCATTGAACTATTATTGTACTGTTTTGAGTATACTACCACGTGTTATAGTAGTCTTTGATCAGACAGACATACACATGAAAACATTCATATACGTGGACAATTGAAATCCTTCATTTAAATGCATGAGAAGGTCTGCTAATTCTGGTTCAGCATATTATCAGTTTTATATCACTGGATTGTCAAAGCAAGTCTAGAGGAATAAAGCAACATAGCCTAAACAAGACGTATTTTAATTACGTGCAATTAATAAGTTGTTAGCTTATGTCTTACTTCCTACAGGAATGGAAACTAAAAATAAGTTTAAAAAACAAAAGTAAATTAGTAATACACACTGGAATTTGCAGTATAATTTATTTTCACCACAGGTATTTGCACAATGTTACTGGATTACTAAAACGGCATTCAGGTGAATTATTACAAATGTACAGGCATGCAAATTGACACTCATGAGTCTTTAATAATCTTACACTCTTTTGAAGGAGTCAGCACTTTAGTACCTGTTTCGCTGCCAGTTGTTCTCTCACCATTCAGCACAGCCAGATAGTCACTGGCTGACAGATACTTGTCCATGTGATGGGGATCTGCGATACACAGTGAACAGGAACAGTGAGCATGTAGCAGCTGTTGACATGAAGCACAGTCTACCATCCTCCACCTCCCACCCCCCCACTGCACCAGTACCTTTCCAGTAGTTGCAGATAGAGAACTTTTGTCCAGCATGGGAGTAGCAAAATATATAGAACTTTGACTTCACAAATTTTGGGAAAACATGTTTAAAGTACACAGTTTCTGAAACAAAAAGAAAAAAAACATGTAGATCATGATTAGACTTGCAAAGGTTTTGACTGTATAAATGGCTATAAGGCATCAGTATGGTGAGAGATTGCCCCACTAATATGCTGTTTAGCACTGTATATTAGTCCAATGCTTCCTTGGGCATATTGGGAAAGAGTGAAAGTAAGCATTTACTAAAAGGGAGTACGTTAAGAAAGTGGTGTTATTTGTTTTTTGTCTTTAAAACAAACTTGTACTACAAGCGCAATGTCAATCGAATAAAAAAATGCTTGCAAAGATGATCTCAGAGTGTCATAGCACTGGAAAATGTATTAATCAAATATTAAATACTGACCTCCATACTGCCCAGCTTGTGGTGATGCCAGAGAGACGAATGTGTGAACATTGTGATCAGGCATGACAGAGAGCAAACCCCTGCATATCAATCCACCTGAGGCACAGTGAGTCTGATTACACACAGGCAAACCAGATATGCAAGATGCACAGCAGTAAAACAGGCAGTGCACTGCATATCAACGTGTGAGGCAGGGCTAATGCACTCGCACACAGACCATTAGCTGGTCTCAGTTCACTCAAGGGAGCAATGCTGAGGTTTAGGGACACATTGGAAAGGAGGATGAGCAGTAGGAACCTTGAGAGAAGCAGATTAAGTGGACTCCATTGCTGGCCCTCTCCATGATTGGATAGATGATCTTTTTGAAGCCCTCAACCTGTTTCCACAGTGGTGCCAGACTGTGAATGTGGTCATAAAGGTCAATGACTGTCACATCGGTGCCTGGGTGAGACTGAAATGGGGAAACGCAAATTAGGTGCAAAGTAAAAAAAACAAATGTTTCTGTGAAATGACAAGTGAGAACAAAATTCTCAACTAACCATTGAAATCTCAGTCACTTATTTTATAGATTAAGGTAAGTTTGCAGATTAAGAGGCAAGAATTTGTAGCAAGGAAGCAAATGAGTAACCATATAGTACATTGCAGAGGGGACCAGTGGGGTGTGGTCTTACATACGGAGAAATGAGTAACCATATAGTACAATGCAGACCAGTGGGGTGCCGCCTTACATACGGAGAAATGAGTAACCATATAGTACAATGCAGACCAGTGGGGTGCCGCCTTACATATGGAGAAATGAGTAACCATATAGTACAATGCAGACCAGTGGGGTGCGGTCTTACATACGGAGTGCCTGTAATCAGGGCAGGAATCGTCATATTAGAATTTACATTGTATATTTTACTTCACCAATTTGTCAACCTGCTTCTCAAGGACATACAGTGGGTCCATGTTTTTGCTCCCTCCCAGCTCCAGGTACAAAGACATGGACTGTCCTGGTTTCCTGAGGACCGGGTTGAGAAACACTGCTCTGAATCACTAAGCTAAAGTAAACGCATTTGATGTCTGGAATGCAGCTTTCATCCACCCAAAATACAACCTTACACAACCTTTAAGCCCTATGGCAGGAGGCCGTCAATGAAACGGAACAGTGTGATTCTGCGGGAAATGGTACCATGTGCAAGAAGCGAAGGTTCCCCAAGGATCCACTCGCGGTCTACATTTGTCCTCTATGTTCTATTTCTTTTCACAAAGAAAGTGATGGTTTGATGGAGATTAGATTATGTTGGGCATCTCTGAAGACATTGAACCAAAGTTAAGAAACTCACTTATTGGGCACCAGAACAATTCAGTGAGAGATAATCAATACAAGTGCTTGGAGAGCATCACCAATATTAAGGATCAATTGCTGTATCGTTTATTGCATGTACCGTACTACCATTGGGTAGCGAGATCGGACAGAATGATCTTCTTGACCTGACGCCCCCTAACATTTAATTAGTGTCTAACTCCACACCTAAGACACTCTCGGCTTTTATTTCAGGTGAGCTCCTGATTACACAATGATTATACAAAAAAAAAAATTACATACACCACTAATGGTCTGCATGTTCAGACAATAGTCATGATATTTCGTCATGTTTTGCTACTGTATTATGGAATAAAACTGAAAGTTTCACACTTCCCTCAAGGGTGACCCCCCAGGAGGCATCGTTTCCTTGTTTTGTAAGCTTTCTGTTCTCTGCTCATCAGTAGGAGAGTGAAAATGTCTGCTTGTTTCCACAAGCAATGTAAACCTGCCTCTCTCAGCTGCGTAAATGTTCAGAACGATTCAGTTATAACAAGAGGTCTGGATTCAATAAGTAGGGAAGTCTACCATGGCTTTGCATGTTAGCTTCATGGAATCTGCCCATTCATCTCCACAGATGTCTCAAGTCAGCAGTTTGAACTAGTTGGATTACTACTCAGTGATGTTCTGTTACATTACTGTCATGTAGGAAAGCATTGGAAATGTAACAAGATGAACCCTGAATGCAACAACATCCCACTGTGTTCAGTTGTGAAGATTTAAAAGACATGCATCATGGGATCCCAAGATAAGTGCAAGTACACAGGGCTGGGATTTGATTTAAAAATAGTCTGGGAGATGTGAGCCATAATGCTGCCCCCAGACCTGCCCAAATAATTGGAAGTAATTTTTATCTTAAATGGCACATGAATCACTACAGAAGAGGCATGCTTAACAGACTGGGTAGATCATTTTAGTCACTCTAAAGAAATTAACTCAATCTACATGCACATATTAGGACTAACAGTTCATTATAGTCTCTCCATGTGTACTCACCTCATGGATGAAGCGGGACAAGTTTGACAAGGCTCTGGAGCCGTCAAATAGCCCGTGTACTATAATCACCGGCTTGTAGCTGACCGTCGTGGTCATTAAAGAAACCCAGAAGATGTAGCGCGCCGTGCTCAGGGTGTAGGCTTGCATCGTAACCTTACGGATAGGCAACCTAAAAAGTGGGCAAGAAAAACCGATTAGTTATATTGGAGAAGTAGCATATGGTTTATACATACTCCCTGGCTAAGCACCACCAGGTTAAGTATCACATCATAGGGATTTTTTTTAAACGCTCTGCATTAAGACACTTCCTTCCACTAAAAACCAGTTTCATTCTTTGCGAGGGGACCGCAGAAGTCTAAATCTTTCGCGTCAGTATATAATATTTGATTATAATGTATAATACACTGTAATTTGTCGTTTGTTGATTATAGAAGAAATAAAACCTCTACAACCTGTCGCTGTGTGGAACTAATTTCCAGTTGTTTAAAACTGTATATATATATTTTTTTTTTTTATTACACACAATCAGATTATTTTCGCCACGAATTTTCTGTTTTATCAACGTGTTTTAGGTGTTATCCTGTTATGACTATGTGTGTCAATTATGCTTAATAAATTCGGTGTTTAATCCTGATTTTCTTCATGCCGTTGCACTAGTGCGCGGTTAACATCGCCCACCTACCCTTGGAGAGAATTAACTAAGAATTTTATAAGTGGGCGCCTTAACTTACCACGGTGATTGCAGGTGTAAATTCCAGTTAGCTTATGCAGATGGCCGCTGCAAGATAGTTTGTAATCGGACCCTATTTAAGGCCGCTAAGATGATGATTGTTCCAAATAATTAAGATCACAATTGTTAGTTTTTATACTCATCAGTGAAGTCAGAGTTCATACGTATACGTTTAGTACTCAGTAAAACTGGGCGAGAAATTGAGGATTTGCCTGTCGAAAATAAGAATGATCCACCAGTCTCCCAACTGATTATCCTGTACAGGATTCCAGCAATTAATATGTTTATTAAAATGTTTAATGTTGGTTGTTCTTCGATGGTATGACAATAAATTTAAATAAGCATTTTAAAGCTTATTTAATCAGTAGGTGATATTTACTATCACCTACTGCTCAAATCGGAATGCAGGTGCAAATTGTAAGCTCAGATACACATTTTAGTAATTAATATGTTTTTTTTAATGTTTAATGTTGGTTTTCTTTGATATAAACGTGCATTTTTAAAATTTGTTGAAATGCTCTGAACTGCTGCTCAAGTCAGAATGCAGGTTCAAATTGCAAGCTCAGATACACACAGATATACTCCGGAAGGTTTAGGAGTTACTCAGTATTTTAGTGATATCCATCCAACTATCCATTTTTTGATATCCAGTGTAGAGTCTTGTTCAGTTTGGAACCCATCCCTGAAAGCATGTAGCACGGGACAGAAGATGTGATGGATGTAATTCCAGTGTTTCTGTTTTTCTTTGATCGGAACATAGACTGCATGTACACCAATGACTGAGCACATGCATGACTATGTGTACATTGCTAAATTGCTGCTTACAAAAAAACCAAACCTAGCACCAGCTATAAATGTGCAGTTCTCTGCTGAATGTTTGCAAGAAGAGACTCTAAACTTGAAAAGCAAGTGTCGCTCTTCACTGAGGGTCATAGGTCAAATAAACAGACTCATGGACTTGGAGGCACATTACCTCTAAAGCCTTGAGGGCTTAGGGCTGTCCCATTATCAAATCATTAAGTGCATGAGGGGACTCTTGCAGACATTTTCAGCCTGTTATGCACACTTTCCATAAGTCAGCATTGCTGCAGACTTTACCTGAGGAAATTACCCACAGTTCATAGCGTTGTGACGTGGGGTTTCCAGGGGAAGCATGGAAGTGTAGACAGTAAACAAAGCATTTCTTTTTGTAATCGCATACTGCTGCTGTCATGAAAAAGAGTAAATTGATTATTTGACAATTATATCTAGTCTCAGGTCAGAACCTGGAACATGTTCAAATTAGGTAGTGGCTGTGAAGAAAGTGCAAATATTAACATAAAAAGTCCAAAATCCACAATAGTAAGAACGTATTTTGACATTATTAAGGTTAACGTGACATGTCACAATGTGCTGTCCCATTCCTATTTGTACCACTTCGAGCCCTCAGTCACTTTCTAAGTGACATCAATTAAGTCTGTGAGGGGTCAGGCTTCAGGCCTTAGGGGGGACGAGTCTCCTTTGCAGACTTTCCTTAGTGGATTGCAGATGTAGCACTTTAGAAAGCGCACTATTTTCGACCTCCAGTAAGGGTCACATGGGGTTTTCCTGATCACACCATCTGAGGATTGTGTCCTTTTTTTGTGTCCCAGTGATACTATTTGTTGCAATCTCATCACAGCATAGATTCTGTAATAAAGATCAGGGGGGCGTTCCATGAAGCAGGATTTCACAGTTAGCTGGGATATCTTAAGCTAGAAGTCAATTCGAGTTTAGGTAAGGAGCATTCCTATTGGACAATAATGACTTGTAGCTTAAGATAACCATGCTAAGTAAGAAATCCTGCTTTGTGGAAGACCCCCCAGGTAGACGCAAAAAAGGCAAAGAACTCCACAATGCAATGTCACCAAGGAGAAATTGTTGAGTCTTTGAAACACTTCGTATTAAATCACTTTCTTCCACGTGACCCCAGGTTCATTCTATGTGTGGGGATCACAAAAGTCTGAAGTTCTCACATCAGCCAATAATATACTGTAATTCGTTATTTTAAAGATTTTATGGACTATAGGGGGCAGCACGGTGACACCCCTGCGATGGCTTGGGGCCCCATCCTGGGTCGTTCTCTGCATTGCACCATAGGCCCCAGATCCCACGCGACCCTGAATATGACAAGCGGTTACAGAAAATGGATGGATGCTGACTATAACCCTCAGAAGAATTAAAACACGTACTATCAGTCACTGGTTGCATTCAACCCCATCAAAAAAGGTGAGACACCCCTTTCTATACACACATCACTACAATTCATTTCTAGAGAACATCACAAATTCTATTCTAACACGTTAGAATGCAAATTCTTGATATCAGATATTGAGTTGTAACTACTTATAATGCACATTTCTGTTACCAGAAATTCAACTGTAACTCGATAAAATGTATATTATTGATATCAGAAATTCAGTTTTAACTAGTTAAAATGCCAATTCTTGATATCAGAAATTCAATTTTAGCTTGTGAAAATCGAAGTGTTTTTCTCATTTATTTCAATGGGAGATGGAATTTCCTCTTATTGGTTTACTCCAGAGCTTCAAGTGCTGAAGGCAACTGCTGCAGTTCTCACTTGTCATGATCCGCTTCGTCCGCTCCTGATGTGTGCCACGCCCACCTCGTTACCTCGTGTTCAGCCCTGATTGTGATCACCTGAGTCCTGTTATGTCTAGCTTGTCTTCTGTATTTAGTCCGCGTCTGAGTACGTTACCCCAGATCCGTCATTGTATTGTCCGTGGATGTCCGTGCCTGTTCGTCGTTCGTGCAATAAAACCCCTTTACCGGACTTCCTGGCTGCTCTCGTCTGCTTCCCTGCTCACCTGCCTGCCGAGACGTGACATCACTAATGAAATATCTTCATATATCACACTCCTCCTTTATAAACCTATGAACTTCACTGGCAACCTGTTGCTTTCCATATACAGTATAAACTCTTTCTGATGACTTCAGGCCATACATGGTCTATGAGTGTTTGCGCTCTAGCAGGGACCATGGGTCGCATCTGATGGGGGTCCATAGAATCGTGTCATTTGTCTGTTTGCTTTTGAAAAAATCAGATACCCTTTTGTTAAAAATAAAACATAGATATAATTCTGGTTTTCATTAATAAAGTTTTATCCGTTTGCATTAAATTCTTTGTTATTTGGTGTTTTTCGTGATTTTGTTCGTTTTTATCCGTCGCTATTCTTAATGCTACAAAAGTTAACCCGTTCCGCGGTAGCCAACATATGTAATGTAAGCTGTAATATTTTGTCACTAGAGGGCGTTGTACATTAAATATTACGATACAGTTAAGAAAATACAGTAGAATGTGCATACGAATATAGTTATGAAATTAACTTTTATCTATAAACTAACTTAAATGTCATCATTGAATCAATTATAATTACTATATTATGAAGTTATAACTAGTACGTTGTAATTTCCTAATAACTAAAATAAGAAATCCGTCACGTAGCCCGGCTAGCTCAGTCGGTAGAGCATGAGACTCTTAATCTCAGGGTCGTGGGTTCGAGCCCCACGTTGGGCGGTGTCGTTTTTAATTAACTTTACATTTAAATTGGCCTAAACCAGAACCCGAGCTTACGCTCTTAATTTTACAATGCGTTCTGAACGCAAAACATCCAAAATTACATAAAACTTAAGTAAACATAACACCATAAAAACTAGTTCATACGAATTTTTGCCGTTACAAGACAGTTTCAAACTACAAGTGAAGTTACAAGTAGCTTCACTACTAAATATACAGTATATAGTAATTTGGGACAATTTATAACGTCTGAAAATTAAAGAATTGTAGATCAGGTGTAACGTGTCCTTAGTAAAACTACATCAATGACACTGACAAGTGTTTTTCGCAATTCCTCCGCATGGCGAGCATTCGTCGCGAGCTCACACGTATACTGACGTAATAGGCTTCGTCACTTCAGGACGTTTCCGGCTCCGGGTTAATGTCACCGTGTGGTTATTTTCTGTTATACTAGAAAACATCACGAAAACTTTGCATGTTTTACAAATTGTGAATAAGATGATGTCGTTGAAACCATTGCTGAAATTCATAACTATATCCATGCAATGAATGTAGTGCAGGTGAATGTGAGAGGATTTCCGTCAAGACATCTGTAACGTTTCTAAACGAGGTATTCATGTTGTGTATGTTTAGGCGCTCGTTGTGCGCATTGAATTATCCATTTAAAAAAAAAAAAACATTTTGTCTCAAGTGGAAAATCTAGTGAAAATATCTAATTTCGGATAAAGTTGTGATAGCTGAAATGAACCGAGCGTAGGTTTGGTTAACAGTGACCGTTCGTCTTTTCTACCAATAAAATGATCAACCAGTTCATGTTATAGTCGGTTAGATTATAAGGTGTGCGGATTTTAGCGGCAGTGTAATACGTTGGACTATTTGCATACTTATATTTGAGATTCACCAACTCATAAATAATTAGTTGTGCGATACCAACGACTGTAATCTTTGTCATAGCTACTCGTCCAGTTCTTCCATCAAAAATTGGACTGAACTATCTCAGATCTGTCTTTGGTGAAATTGCACGTTTAAATAATTGCTATTGTATAATAGAAACAATGAGCTTGAAAGGGCTACATAATTTGTGCACATTACACCATAAAAGTGCAAAACTGACAAACGTTAAAATAACACTGCAGAGTCACAGAATATTTCGTATAGCCATTTTCATTCTTTTTCTTAAGTTATTTTGGTCGAACATTTATGTTGAATTTAATATGTATCTATGCATCTTTATATAGCCCGTTTAATTGTATTAATCGGCATATTTTGGTTTCTTTTTAGTCAATATGGCGAATCTGGAACAGTGGGTCAATGATCGTCTCCATGACATCCTGGGTTTGAGCGATAAGTATGTGGCCCAATTTATGATCGGCTCGGCGCGCCGATCATCTGGCCCCGAAGACTTCCTGAACCGCCTTCGGGAGACTGGTACCATCGATATTGACCAGAGGGTGTCTGCTTTTGCACAGGAGTTGTACGCCAAGGTAACGTGTTGACTTGTTTGGTCTGGACCTTTCGTCAAAGTGAAATGGATGCTTTTGCTCATTTTTTCAGCATATTTTTTCTCTGTGTGTCTA